CCCCAAAACCCCAAAACCCCAAAACCCCAAAACCCCAGATTTTCCAATCAAAATAGAAATTTAGCTGGATCTAGCCCAGAATTTATTAACAAAATAGCCTCAAACAGAAGCTTACACTGAGCTAGAATCTGAACCTGAGTCTTTGGGCTGAGCCACAGGGTATCTATTAGTGAGAAATGATGTAGGGAAGGAGCTTACTTGTTGGAGTCAGAGGAAACTGGGGAATTCTGGATGAACTCGGTTTTTACCCGGTGGTGTCTTATTGCTTTATCAGCAGCCCTTTGTCTCCGTTTCTCACGGATTTTACTCTTTTGGGATCGCTATGGGGGTTAGAGGGGTAGTACTCTTTTTGAGATTCAAGCTTTAGCTGTTTTGAGAAGTCTCAACCGCTTTTCACGTATTTTTACCTCATGCAAAGGAATTTGATAGTCTCCAAAGAAATTAACAGGACTGTTTATGGCATCACTAAAGAATGGTGCATCATTAACACTTTTATTTCGACGCAGGACTATCAATTATCACCTCACTTTCACCACCAAGCTCTTTGAAATGATTTTTCTGAGTGTTTAAATTTACAACTGACCCTATCAGCGGGGATATCGGTTCATAGTCATTTTCACCCTGCTCATCCTTCTTAAAAGAAGTTATCCGTTTGAATGCCCCAGCCTTCATTTCCGCTGTTGTTCATGAAATGTCCTGAATTAATTGCCTTATGTTCTTCTTCGCTTGAGTAATCTTCTACTATATCTTTATTGATTGATTGCTTCTGGTCTTGATTATTATGAGCGGGCTGGTCAAGAAACTCGGTGGGATTTTGGGAAATAACATTCCCAAGCTCTCTCTTCTTGGCCTTCCTAGTCCTTATCCTCCTTCTCCTCATGCCATTCGCTATACTCCTATTCATTCTTCTAGTTTTGACCATTTCACTTTGCCCTCTCTGCCTGTTCTCTAATACAACCCTGTAGACTTTTTCGAACTTTTCTGACCTAGAAGAGGGTTAGTGATAGCAGGGAAAGAGATATTACTTGTTCCTTTGGTGTTCTATTACTTGTTTAAGCTTGCTGTTGGAGAGGAGGAGGGAATCTGAGATTCGAGGACTGTATACTAAGTTTTTACATTTCTTTTCAATGTATTCTACGCCTGTACGGATTCTCATGGAATTATTCATATTTCGATGCCCTTTTCGAGTATTGAGTAGACAGCATTTTCTTTTGGGAGCCTTAATCCCAAAGAATGAATTAGCACTTATTTTCCCGTTTTTCAAATTGATAAATTTGCTTTGACTATCACTTGGAATACTGATGTCACGATAATCATCTTCAAACCTTTAAAATTACATCAGTTACCTTACTTGACTTTATGAATCGATTTATCATTACTATTACTAGCTCTTATCAATTCTAAAATCTCAATTCTAACTGCCTACCATTAAAATAATCTCTCTGCTGTTCTTTTCTTCTCATCCCCTCTAAATCCATTCAAACCCATACCTCCCAAAATCAACCTAAAAATCCCTCCTAAAAACCTATAATACCAAAAAAACCAACAGAATCTTCCATCAAACCCAAATACACCTTCTAAACCCCTCTAAGCTAACTCTAAACTCAAAAAAGCATACCTTCTTTATTTCTGTTCATACAATAATCGACCTTTCAACATAGCTTTATTTAGTCTCCTCATTAATTCTAGTCCTGTAGTTAGTTCTTATAGAAGACTTGTAACTTAGAAATGATGTTTTTGATTCTGGTGAAGGAAGAAGCATTTTATTTTTAATTTTATATTAAGTTATGACATCGTTTTTTAATATTTAAAGGGGTTTTGGGGTTTTGGGGTTTTGGGGTTTTGGGG